AATTGATTTTTCATTGTTGTTTACTGGAGACCTATATTTCACATTTGCCACCTTTATATATTTTTTACATTATAACTAGTGGCCCAGAGCACAAAATTCGTGTGTGTGTGTGTGTGTGTGTGTGTGTGTGTGTGTGTGTGGTGGTGGTGGTGGTGGATAGTTGGTAGCCTGGCCTGGGCCCTCTTGCCACCTGGTACCCCTTGGGGGATGTACAATGGCCAGCTTAAAGGTTAGAAAAATACTTTGTGAGAGAAAAAAAACAAAAACAAAACAGAGGCCACTCCAGCAAAGATTCTGAGGAGCTAGGGTTAACTTTCTTCGTGAAGATTCGCCAGGGAAGAGGGGAGGAAGGAGTAACTGTGTGAGTGTGTGTGTGTGTGTGTGTGTGTGTGTGTGAGAGAGAGAGAGAGAGAGAGAGAGAGAGAGAGAGAGAGAGAGAGAGAGAAACACCCCCCTCCAAAAGACTCCAGACTCTTTTGTTCTAAATCACAAAACTTTGCTTCCCCTGCATTTATCACATGTCTAAACACAAACCAACATGTACTTCAAGCAACATGTGTCAGGGAAGGAGAATGCAGCCTTAAAGCAAAGGGTGAGGGTGTAAGAAGTGAGTAACTCCTCTCGTTCCCCCAGCTGAAGCTCCTCGGGGGCCTGACTTTGAGAATCCACATTTACCTCTTGACGCATGAGAAGTTAGGGAGCACAGCATTATCCTGGGAGGGGACGGTCACGGGGATTGCACCTGTGGTGTTGCCCCAAGTTTCATTTCCTCACCCTCCTGGGTTACTGATCCAGTTAACGGGGTCGGAGGTCTGCAGCTGGATGCCTTCAGGAGGAGAGTGCGCAGGGGGCTGGGTGGTCCAGCTCCGAGGCTGTCTGTGGGCAGCGGCTCAAGGTGTTCTGCCCTGCTGCACCACTCACTCTGACTGGGTGCAGGGAGAGATTGGGTGACTCTGCAGCAGGCAGTTCCATGTCTAGCGCCTTTGAATTGCATATTGGGGGCCAGGGGGAGGAAAGAAAAGCCTCCCCAGAAAGAGGTTTTTTAAAAACCTTTAGGGACCAGGAGGTTGGCTGGCCAGGGCCATCCTTCCCCTGGCTGCTGGCTGCTGGCCCCGCCCCCTGGCCCCACCTGTCTTGGGCTGGTGCCACCTGCCACCCACTCCCGATTCTCCATTCCCCATCAGGAGAACCAGGAGGTTGGCCGGCAGGCCCTGATCAGGCGATTGGGGTGGTCAGTGTGAGTCATAGCAGTCATTCTGGTCATTCGGTCATTCAGCCTTAACAGTCGCTTAGGCTTATATATATGTAGATTAGTGGCCCGGTGCATGGATTCGTGCACCCATGGCTGAAGGTGCAATCGCGCTGCCCCGTGAGGAATCGGGCTCCCTCCTCTCTGGTTCTGGGGTGCATCACCTGAGAACTGCCGCTGCCAAGGCACTGTGCCAAGCATCTGCCTCCTGGTGGTCAGTACGGGTCATATGTACCCGATAGTTGGGTGGTCACTTAGCCTTTTATATATATAGAGATATAATTATTTTCATAATTTAAAACTCAGAAACAGATATAGCAAAAGAAAGAATATAAGTATCTAAGTACCACTCATCATTCACTGTTAGAACTGCTGTATACTTATTGTTCATTTTTGCTTCTCCCCTCCTCACCTGTGTATTAGACATTTACCTCATGTTTGCTGTTTTCAATCAGCTCTTCTCAGGCTCATCAGCATTATCTTTATTCTTAAGAAAGAAACTTGTGAACCCCTTTTCCTTAATGCCCCACTGAGCCTGTCAAAGAAATCGCAAATAACCTTCAGTATAACCCCAGCATCTGTAGTTTCTCTTTGCCATTTTCTTCCTATAATAGTCATTGGATTTATTAGGAGCCTTTAAAATAATCAAAGTGTCCTTCCATTTAACTTTTACGGCATTATTATTTTTGACGCTCCAGCTGTTTCCTTAAGGTGGTGAGTCTTGTATTTTCCCTGAATCTCGATGTAACCTTGTTATGTGGATAAAGTACTCGGTCATCATTACAGTTCTCTGAAATGGCTTGAAAATGCTCAGCTCCTTTCCCACCCACTTTTATTTTTTATTTTTTATTTTTGTTAGGAATAATTTTCTAGTTTATAGTCAAACCCATAAATCAGACTTCTAAGTTCTACACACCTGATTTAACAAGAGTATGTGAGTGGCTTAATAAAATCCAGGTTTTTCCCCCCTCTGCTTTCTTACTCTAGAGCTCAAAACCTATAGGACTCAAAACATTTCCACACAGATGAAGCCTGCTGAGAAGTGGGAAGGTTGTCTGTGAGTTTAGTCTTGTGATCCTGAGAAAATGTATTTGTCATTATCGAGGCTACCGCTCCAGAAGCCTCCGGTTCTGGAGCTTTCTCTCTATTGTGTCTTCTGACAAGGACCTTCGGCCTCTCTCTAGCACCCCTGGATCCTTGTGGCTCCAAACCCCGGGGACTGTTCCTGCTTCTGCTTCCCTGACCTCAGTCAGCAAAGGCAGGAAAAGATGCAACCAGTGGAGTTGGGATTTGCTCCAAAGTTGGAAGCCTTTCACCTCTTGCTCCTATTTTCTTGAGTTTCAGATGATTCTGATCCAGAGTACTTCAGTGGCTTTCCTTGTCCCCTTAGCCCAGGAATTCTCTTGTTGCAGGTTCCTCGGCTGCCCATGGCCTACAGAGGGAGGTTGGAGGGTCTCTGGCCCACTGGCAGCCTCCTTGTCAGCAGGGCACTGGTCCCCACCAGCCACTCCCATCTCCGCCTCTGTACTGGGCTACATCTCTCCTGGGTTCTCTACCCTCAGCCCGTTTCACTCCCCACCTCCCTGTGATTTTTTATTACCTTTTTTTTCTCTTGTCTGTCCATAGCCGCTCTTCAAATCTGTCGCCCTGTTTTTATCTTACACTTTTACTTCTCATGCACCTCCTCAGGCGTTTATTACTTGTACTTTGGGATATTCCTTTCATAGCTGATGAAACCTGTAAACTCAGGACCGGAGACCCAGAGGGCCCTGCAGCAACCCTCACAGTTCTATCAGGAATTATTCACCTTGAAAAGGGCTTTTCTGAGGTCAGGTTAAGCTAACCATTCTTCCAATGTTGTCACTCCTCTCTTCCCTTAAAAGTTCCTTTGAGGTCTTTCCCCTTCTTTAACCTCTAAATGCATTCTGGGTAGAGTATTTTAGAACAGTTCTTGTCTGGAGACCTGTCTTTGTGCTTTTTGTCTTTTGGATATGATCGCTTTTATTCAGATGTTCTTTTTGTCATGGATAGTTGTGACCTAATATGTGTGAGACTAGGTTACAAATAATATAAAATTATTCAGAAATACACATATATATGTTCATGTATACATTAATGGAATGGATCGTGGATAGTATGTGATCCAATTAAGCTGATATTTAGAGGCTTTGTATATCTTAGTTATCCATATGGATGTAGGCATCCCTCATTTTAGTGTGCTTTGCTTTATTACACTTCATAGATACTGTGTTTGTTTGTTTGTTGTTGTTTTTTTTTTGCAAATTGAAGGTTTGTGACAGACCTGTGATTTTTAGCACTTATGTTTTAGTGTTAGAGTACTTTCTAATTAAGGTATTACATTTTTTTAGACATAACATTATTGCACACAACATTGTATGAACATAACTTTTATATACACTGAGAAATCAAAAAGTTTGTGTGACTCACTGTATTTCAATATTCACTTTCCTGTGGTGGTCTGGACCACACCCGCAGTACCTCTGACGTGTGCCTGCACCTCAGTGCCTGTGCAGTGATATATGTATGACGTGAGCTGCCAAACCATGACACCTCATTGGCTGAGTGTTTTCTCTTTCTTTTTAGTTGTGGTAGAATATACATGACATAAAACTTACCGTCTTAACATTTTTTAGGTGTCCACAGTTCATTGGGGTTAGGTACACTTACATTGTTCTCCAGAACTCTTCCTATTTTGCTCTATTGAAACTGCACATTAAACAACAATGCCCCTTCCCTCTCCACTCCCAGCTTCTGGCATCATCCATTCTGTTTTCTATCACTATGAATTGACTACTGTAGGTACCTCGTTCAGTCTTTGTCTTTTTATGACTGCTTATTTCACTTCATGTTGTAACATGTGACTGGATTCCTTTTTAAGGAATTCCTTCTTAAGGATTTTCTTGAGGCTGAATAATACTCCATTATATGTATACTAGAGGCCTAATGCATGAAATTCGTGGAAGGGTAGGCCTTCCTTCCCCCAGCAGCTGGTACTGGCTTCCCTCTGGCACCCGGGACCCCGGTTTCATCTGGAAGGTCGTCTGGTGTGATTAGCATGTTACCCTTTATACCACACTTTTTTATCCTCTCATCTGCTGAGTTGCTTCTACCTTTTGACTATTGTGAATAATGTTTAAATACTGACATAATAAACATGGCAAGCTGACAGCACACTCCAGAGCCAGGCAGGTTCAGTGTCAGAATACGTCCCCTGAGTCCTAATGCTGACCTCTGTTCCTGGAAGTATTCACAGTGGGTCTGATCATAAGAAAGTTGTCACAGAGCGCTGCCCCCGCAGGCCTGTCTTTGGGGAACCAGCCCCGTGGCCAGTGCCAATCAGGCCGGCAGGCTGGGGCTTGCCACTGGCCCGGCCCGCCTTGGGCCTGGTATTTCATTCTGGCTTTGGTCATCCCCCTGCAGCCTTGGGACAACCTCAGGCAATAGGCCAATCGTGTGACATGTTCTGAAATGACAAGGTGAATTTAGATGGGCCTGTAGCAGAAATTTTAGGGAAAACTCATTGCCAGTCAAGCCTTTATCATTTCTCTTTAAAACCTTAAGATGCAGCTGTCACCATTCTTTCTTTCGGTGTGGGAGGGGGGAAGGGGAATATTGTGCTACATTTTCATCAGGAACAAATAGATGGTCCCTTTGGTCAACCTGTTCTTTTTCTCTCCATGTTTTCACCCTTTCTCTTTTCTATTTTTTTTCTCTTTCTCCTGATACACAGGCCTTGCAGTGCATGCTGATCTCTCTCCAGGCAGAACTTGACATTCAAAGGTACTTGATGAAAATTGAATCATCTCAGCGAGTTAGTACTTTTCTTTTCTCTGCATTGAGTCGCATCTTACCTCCTGCCTTTTTACTCAACCGCGTGTGGCGTTCTAATCCGTGTGGGCCATTCTGCAGTGGGCCTGTACTCTGGCTGGCCTGCCCCGGGTGCTGATTTAAACCTTCAAAGTCAAATGCCTGCAGCATTCTGAAGTGTGCATTTTAAAATTGTGGGCGTTATTATTGAAATGAACACTAATTGCATGCCTGCTTTGAAATATTTTGTTTATTTTCCACACGTTGAGCTGTGAATCAGCAGTAATGCAACAGCCGGTCAGAGATCGGGGCGCAACCACCTGGAAAGCGGGCTCTCTAACAGGAGACTCCACCGTGAACAGCTGCTCCGGGCGGCGCCGTCGTGGGAGGGAAGCAGAAACCTGCATCATTCTGAGTCTCAGAGCGCTCGAACTCTTCCTTTGCTCAGCTCCGGTCCTTTCAATCTGGGGTCCAGCTCATGTTACTGACATACATTTTAATATTAAAAATGGCGGGAACAGACACGTTTATATAGAACTTACTGTGTACGAGGTACTTGACAAGCATTAACTTCTCACAGCAACTCCATGGGGTAGGCACAGTCTGGCCTCCCTTTTACAAGGGAGGAAACTGAGGCACAGGTACGTTAAGTATCTTGCCCAAGGCCACAAAGCTCTGTCAGTAACAGAATTGGGATTTGACTCTAGGCACTCTGGCTTCATATTTTTTTCAACACATCACTTATTTTCTCCAAGTCCTCCATGTTCTCTGCTTCCTCCTAGGTGAGTTTAGTGTTCAAACTGAAATGCAGCGGGAGAGTTCCCAATGCCTGGATCCCCGGCTTGGTATTGGGTCCCTGTGCCGACTTAGCACCTAGCCTCCCACATCCTTCTTGTCCCCCAAGCATGGGCTGTTACTTTACTGTCTCCTGAGCATCCACAAGGCAGAACCATGTGGCCTGGACTGTGTGGCCTGAAACGCCCTGAGCTCAGGAAGGTCCCAGCAGCCCAACTGTGGTCAGTCTTCAGGGATCACACTGACTCTTTTCCCTTCCCTTTTCTTAAAGCTCAGTCTCTCTGATTTTTATAGGTTAAGAAGCTCAAATTAGAAAGCTCAAAGAGGCATAGAAGTAAAAGTTGGGCTAAAAGAAATACAGAGCATCATTATCTACCCCACGCCACCTCAGTTCGGATGGTTCGGTTGCCTTTTATTTTTTCCACGAGTCTTAATTGTTCTCACATTTCCATGACTCACGCAGACTAGAAGCATCTTTACGATGGCCGCACACACCATGCACTCGGTGGAAACGCAGAGGGGGAACGAAGCCGTGGCGTGCTCTTTACCACGGGTACACGTAGTCTTCCTTTCTGTTATCAGGATGAGATTCGACATGATGATGTGGGATTTTCCATTCGGTGTGAGAAATACACAGTGTGGGGTGCCCTTCGTTATTGTTTTCTCATGCTTAAAACAAATAAATTGTAAATGCTGACTCTTTACTTCTTGATGATAAATTTGACAGCAAACTTGACAGTAAGTAATGAGGTATTAGAGAATTTTTTCAAGGTGTTTTTTTTTTTTAAGCATTTACATACAAGTTACAATTAGCACCATGTATATTACTTTGCTAACACCTAGCATTTAAATTTTGTATTTATTGAAAGTATGTTAACTTACTTTCACATATACATTTATCAAATCGCTCTTGTGATTCCATAATATGAGCAGACAAAAATGGTGGGAGTCGTTCCTAGCACTTGACCATGATGTAGACTTGGAGGAGGAGTGGGGTGAAAGTTAAGGGGGACACGGAAGGAGCTCCTCCTCCCTCCGGTAAAGGGGGAACTCTTAGAGCGTCTGCATGTGTTCGACTTTCTATTTTGAAGATGGAAGGAACCACTTACCGACTTCACAACACCATGAAAAAGGCCAGGTGAGCCCCGTGAGAGATTGGTTGGTATCCTCCCCTCTCACCTGGGACCCCACAGGCCCCAGGGCCCACCGCCTGGGATTGAGTGACACCCAGCACCTCCTGCAGAGAGTGCTGTCACATCGGGGAGCTAAGTGTCAATTTATAGCTGACAAATTCCTGTGCACATTTGCAGTTACTGCTCCCAACTATTCAAGTAAATATTATGATTCTTCTATAAAAGTGAGAACTAGAGTTCAAAATTAGGCCAGTGCATGTCAGGCTTGGAGTTTGCATTTGTGAGAATACTGTGAGCAAGAGTCAAATCTTCTCATTCTAAATCCTGCCTTCTTTCCATCTCTCCAAACGCTGGAATTCTTTCCTCTAGCAGGACTAGAGGGGAAAAGACCCTTCCCTGAGAAGCTAGTCAGAACTTTCACAAGGTGATTGTTCATTGTAAAACCCGTCCAGGGAAATGGGGAGGGCAGCTGGTGGTGGTGGCAATGGTGGTGGTGGTGGTGGTGGTGGTGGCGGCGGCGGCGGCGGCGGCGGTGGTGGTGGTGGTGGTGGTGGGGGTGGTGGGGGGGTGTGTGTGTGTGTGTGTGTGTGTGTGTTTGTGTGTGTGTGTGTGTGTATGGGGGGGAGGGGACTGTTTGGAAATGTGAGTTGGAAAGTAACAGCAAACTCTACTCCCAAGATGTCTGGAGGGTCTGGCCACAAGCACTTGGTGGCCTTGGCGTGGTGGCCTTGGGCACCAAGTGTCCCCTCGGACAGCTCCCTGGGGCCTTCTTCATGTGGGGCTGGAGAGGACATCTTCAGCTCTGCTGCGACAGGCTGAGGGCGGTCGCTTTGCCATCAGGGAAAACCTCTTTGGTTTTACAACAAGGCAGTTAATCTCTAGGGGCTTGGGGGCCCCACATCCTCTCCAAAAAGAACAAAGCCCAGGCTGCAGGGACGAGCTTAATGATGGCTTTTGTCAGGAGGCCCTCTAAGGTGCACATTTCGCACTATGCATTCTATTGGTTGTATTTGACTTGAGATTTCAAAGCCTGCAAGCAGGTCGCTTTCCTTTCATTGCTGTAATAACAGCAATCCTCACATGGCCACCTTTTATCCCGAAGCCTTTTAAGTGCATTCCTGGCTCTCGGACTGGCAGAGGCATCTGCTGCTTTGCTCCGGCCTCTCCCGGCCTCTCCCGGTGAGCGCTGTGGGAGCCAAAGCCTGCGGGGCAGCTCCTTTGTTTATCATGCACACCTTCTTGTTTCAAAGATAAACAGAGAGACTGGCCATAAAGAGACTCTATCTAAGGTGGACAAACTAAAAATCAAGAGGCCCAGGAGACAAATCTGTGAAGGTAAACTGTGATTGGCTTCAGCATTAATTTAGCTTCCGCCTTTCCAATGTACATGGCGTTTCATGCGCTTCTCATGGTAGGTCAAAGTAATGCTTATTACTCCATCATGAGGCAAACTTGTTTTCCTGTTTCAAATTCTGAAAGAAACGTGGCTTGCTCATGCCTTCACGAAAGGGACATTGGTGTATTGTCCCTTTGTGTATTGTGACCTGGCATAACAGGTCAGCAAGAAAATAGCAGTAGTCTTCATCAGGTCTTTTATTTTGTTCTTTCAAGAGGAAAACAACACTAAATAATAAATGCAGGAGGGCGTGCCTGAAAGGGCTGGGGTGGATGTAAGGGTGAGTTAATGAGATTTGTATTTGGAATTGCTCTGGGTGTAACTTTCTAACTTGATGCTAAATGGAGATGTTGGTGAGCTAGAACTTCTTTATATTCTTTAAATAGCTTTATCTTATTATGGTTTTAGGGGAAAGTCAGAGAGCAGCCAAATTCATGGTGCTATTTCAGAAGCAAGTCTATGTCATGTTACAGATAGGACACCAGTTGGGCAGACAGCAGGCTGACATCTAATCCCAGAAGTGGAGAAGGCTGCAACCTCCATCTCCCCCCACTTCTGCCCGCCCCCCCAATGGAAGAGCCCAGGCCCCATCTGCAGGGCAGCCACTTTTGTTGCCCCTCCAGGCACAGCCAAACCTCTTAAAGAAAAATGAAGGAGAATTCTACCATCTACACACTATGAAGGGGTTGAAAATTTGAAATTATTGAAGGAATTATAGGAAAATTTTAAACTTTTTTCCTGGAGTCAGATATTTACGAGCCTTACCTTACCGGTAAGATAAGGTAATTCTGAATGTCCAGAATTTATTTGACAGCTTTTGGCTCTTCCCTCTTAACTGTATCTTTTTTGAAATTGGAAGTCCGTGCAATTCTAGATTCCTGCCACACTGTGGATGGCATGGAATGAAACTGTGTCTCTGTGCCCGGGGTTCCCCACATTTGTGCCCTCACGTCAGGGGCCAGCTACAAGGAGGCTTCCTTTCCCCTGGGACCTAGAGTGCACATGCTCAGGAGAAGACAGGGACAGCCAGAGCACCTTCCAGTCACCACAGACAGGAATCCCCTGGCTTCTCAGTGCTCCCCTGTTCCATGCTTTTAACTTAGCCTGCCTGCTCAGTAATTCTCTGAATTACCAAAGCAATCTGTTCTCATTGTGGAGCTACAAGGAAAAATGTATATTACTCAGAACACCGCCATATAGAGAAAACCAGTGCTCATATTTGGTATTGTTTCTATTTCTTGTTATTTGAAAATAAAGTCCTCAAAAAACACCTTGATTGTGACTGCATAGTATTCCATGGCATGTCCGTCCACATTGTAATTTGTTAACCAGCCTTCTAAGTTGTTTCTACATTTATTTGTTCTGCTAAAGAAGCAATGTGTGAAGGTTTTCCCCTGCCACTCTAGAACAGGAAGTATGGCTTTTCTTAATTTTTACAATTCTAATTAAACTGGCTTGTCTTCCGCAATCATTGGAACTGGTATTTGCATCACGTTGGGTCATAAAGAAATCTTAGGGAGCACTAAATAAAACTAGGTAATGCCTCTGTGCCAGAGTCTGATTCTGGAGGGCCTCTCCAGGTTCATTTTCCAAAAGCCTTTACTTTCTAAGCCGGCCTGCGGAGAGGGACCTCAGGGTGGCCTCTGAGGCAGAGAGACCCTGTTAGCCCTTTCCCCGGGG